AGGTAAAACTTTTGGATATGATCAAAGATGGCAAGAAAATCGTGGAGGTTGCACGCCATTTCGACTTGAATGAGTCTTCCGTTTGCTCCATCCGTAAAGAGGAAAAAAACATCCATGCTACGGCTACTTTCACTTTCAACAAGGAAGCAAAGCGCATCGTGACAAGGAATCCTACTCCGTGGAATTTCATTTATCACAGTAGGGTCTAGAACCGATTAACCGCAATAAACAAGGGTTTACTATAGTCCAATTTGAGTTCATATACAGTGTGATTCCTTTTACATGAAACTTTAGAAATGACCCATCTAATCTTTAGTGCCAGGCAGCAGACTGGCTACCGACTGAGGCCAGGTGTCAGAGGAGGGGTGTTCACCGGGCAGAGATCCCAGAGAATGTTGACAGGTGATGTAAACATTCTGCATTTTGGCTTTGGGGATCACTCCAAGGTGCATAAAAATGTCAGAACTCGCAGACATAGGCCATTAAAAGCCAGAAAGAAAGTCCCACGGCCAGTCAAGTCTAATTCTCATTCACAGGGTGTGGTAGTTACCCAATCTTGTTGTCAGCTTAAGACTGAAGCATGAAGGCGTGGAGTTTAGCCTGTCAATCAGGTTCCAGCTTGATGACCTCATTTGGAGGTGCAAAGGAGATAAATAGAACACTGGAGGCAGGACACACGCTCACTCCCTGTGAGGCATGCTTGCTGACTAGACACATGGAGCTATGCTAGAGCCTTGGAGCTGAAGGAGCCACGTGGAGATGCCTCTACCGCCACTGGATCCACAAGACTTTCCACCTACTAGCCTGTGATCTTCCTGCATTTGGCATCATTGCATGTGTTGCATGAGTCTGAAGCGGATTTTATGGACTGGTATCTGACATATGGGCTAATATCAGACTTATGGACTTGATCTGGACTGGTCTGGGATGTTTTATCAATATTCAATTGCTCTTGTATATAAAACTCTCTCTTATATACATACGAGTGTCCATGAATTTCTCTAGTCTACTCAGACTAGCACACAGGGGCCCTGATGGAATAGAACTGCCTCACGGGGTTTCCAAGCTGGTAAATCTCTATGGAAGCAGACTGCTGCATCCTTCTCCTGTGGAGCGGCTGGCAGGTTTGAACTCCCCACCTGTCCCTTAGCAGCTGTGTGCTTCACCAGTGTGCCGCCAAGGTTCCTCTGCACTCTTAAGTGGGGCGGTTTTATCATGCACCAATCATACGTCATAAAAAGTCATTAAAAAGTCCAAGAGACAATGAGGTTAGAAGGACGCACCTCTATAGGCAAGGCCTCTGTGGGCCAGGCGTTGTGGCTCACAGTCTAAATGGGGCAGGCCTCACGAGATGAGAGTGGAAAGTGACCCTGGGATGGCTATGGCCTTGGGAATGGGGTGTGGAAAGGAGAGGAGAAGTTTTCCTGAGGGTTTTGGGATTGTCTCTGCAGTCTGCAGTGGGGTAGAGTTTGAGATTCAAATGTTTAGTTAATTTCTATTCAACCTCAAAAGCAGCCTCGTGGCTGTTCCTTTTCCCTTTGAAAACGATGGCAGGGCCTTACCGGAATGTTGCTTGATGGCCACGGGTCTCACTTTGTAGGGAGTTCTGCAAAAGAGAAGACAGTTCACCGTGAGATGCTGTCAAGGACGTTTGCTGCCCGTCTGGTGGGAGAGATAAGCTCTGTGGATGAATTAAAATTCAATGGATTAAGGTTCTGGTTTTTTTTTTAAAAAAATTAGTTCTGTTGCATCTTCTGAGTTTCCTCATTCAGAATCCTAAATCTTTTAAATATAACATTTAAATGATGCAATGCAGTGAATGACTTAATAGGACCCCTTGGGCTATAGTCACTCCCACACAGTAATTGGGTAGGACTATGCAAATAAGGTGTTTGTGGCCCACCTTGGGAACTAGACAGCTTCTTCTTCATGCAAATAAGGTACATGGAATCCTTGTGGGGGTGGGACCAGGCAAATGAGGTGCATGGTACCTGAATGAAGGGATTGGTCAGTTTTGCCATTCCACTAGGTTTAAGGGGAGACCTGGAGAAAAAAGAGGGAGGAGCCTTGCCAAGAGTGGCTGTAGCCGTGTGAGAAGTCAGAAGCTGGGAGATCAGTGTGCGATGCTGTGGTGGTGTTTGCTGGTTAGGGGCTAAGTCTTAAAACACTTGCCTGCAGCGCCCAGAGGTGACCAGGCCGGGCAAAAGCCCTGGCAGCGTTTGGTGGCAGAGGCTGAGAAGCTGTCGTGATCCAATTCCCGTGTCCCGAGTTGTCCCGGTTACTTTAACACTGAAGGTGATCCTGAGTTTTTACCCTGTTACTTCCCTAATAAACCGCTTAACTGTAAGTGTAGTTAGTGAATTCTGTTAGGCACGAGTGCGAGCTGCGAAGCCCAAAGACACGAGGACAATGACTGAGGGGACGGGTGGTGGTGCAGGTGCTAGAGATGACGGAGTGATAGAAAGGTTTGGAAAAGTTGGGGCATCTGGGGCACCTTTGACCACCTCAAAGGAACCAGCTTCGGGCTGATCCTTATTAAAAAAAATCATTTATTCAGTTGGTGTCAGACGATGGGATTTTCTGCAACGGCCAAGGCTCACTGGAATATGTGTTCTGGGTACAAGGTGACAAAGGAGAGAATGGGAAACCTTTACTTTCTGAATGGGATTAGCAAAAATCTAAACAAACCAAAATACCCGTGAATTGAAGCAGACGTTGCATTACCATCAATGACCCACAGTCACAGCCATCCAGGGGGAGGTCTGGTGGATCTAACTCCTGTGGAACAGGCTACTTGGGTGCATGAGAAGATCCATAATGATGAGGAACAGGCAAGGCAGGCGATTCCTTGGCTGCTAGAATTGGGAATAGCTGCAGTGGCAGGCAGAAGAGGGGAGGGGCGGACTGCAGTCCTGAACCAAGATCAGACTGGGCATCCTCAGAGAGAAAAGGGCCACGCTCAGGGCTGATCGGTAAACTAAGTCATATCAGAACAACAGGAAGCGCTCTCACAACCACTGACCACCGAGAAGGTAGTCCAGGGGTAAATGGGCAAAATCAAGAAACGATTGAATGGTTTCCATTTGTAGATGCCAATGCAGGTGTTGCCGGCTTCCTGAGGGACTGTGTTGCTGAAATGGGTGTGAGTGTGACTAGTGGAGGGGACAGTTAGCTGTCAGGGCCGCGGTGGCAGAAAAGAGTGTGCTTGGAGTTGGGCAAGACCCACAACCCATTGAGTCACTAAGGAAGATACAAGATCTAGGCACACAAGGAGAAAACCAGGAGAGAACGGCCACCCTGGTGGACAGGGAAACTGTCCTTGTCCCCTCTGAAGACCTTACAGGACATGGATGCACCGCATTGGTGAACCGGGCTGGAATGATTTTATGGTGACCAGGATGGCCCTTCCACAGACCATGGTAGAGATGCGAGTCAAGGAAGCCCCGTTGAGTTAGTTTATTGTGCCATCCTGGCCGATAAACACAAGTGGTGTTAATTGAGGGGCGGAGGGATAAATGGCTCAGTGAGCCACGCCTTTCTGCCTTTCTAGTTCTCGGGTCTCTTGCTTTGTGATGGTCGCACCAGGGTGCAGCTGCCTTAGCAGTTCCCTGCTTCAGTTTGCAAGACTGACTTCCTGCAAGACATCCCCAAGGAGAAGCCACATGAACCTACCCCGATGCAGCCCTGGGTGCTGGAGCACCCATGTGGAGACCCCTGCCAGCGCTGAGATGTTTACACATTCACTGACTCGGCTTTCCTCCTGCAGTCGGCATCGTTGCCTCTGTTTTGTGAGGTAGAGGACTTTGTGGACTGGTGTTGGGTTAATCGGTTAATGTTGGACTTGTGGGCTTGGGCAGCATTGGACTGGGATGTTTTCTTGATGCACACTTAATCTTTACATAAAACTCTCTTATACATGAGTTGCTGTGGATTTGTTTCTCTAAAGTACCCAGATGAATACACCCTTTGACAGGGGCACTTAGAAAAATCCTCCCTTTCTTTTCCTTTTCTCCTTCCTCTGTGGTCCTTAGTCCGAAGCCCGTGCTGGGGTGAGGGTGGGGGTGGTGACCGTGAGCTGAGGAGGGGCAGTGGGGGATAGGGACAGAGAAGAAGAGGGTGTCATCGCCACGATCCCCTTGGAGAGACCCTGAGGCCGAGTGCCTTGTGGGTCTGCCTAAAGGACAGGCTTCTCTCACACCATGGTCCAGAGATTTCTCGTCAGTCAGAACAGTCTCCCTCCAAAGGCCATCTCAGCCTCTTCAAGCAGAAGAGTCACCGGAGCAGGTGCTGGTGAGCTGAGGGATCCACACAGCCGTGCTGGCCACGGGCAGCCCTGAGACTGCCTCAGAGGCTCCCAGCAGTGCAGAAGCTTCCAGCTCAGGCTCCTAGTGGCCTCCGTTCAACTTCCTGGCCACTCAAGCTTTGTCTTGGCCCCCGGTCTTTAATCCTCTTGATTCTGAACAGCAGCGACGTCTCTCAGAGCCAGCGTATTGATTCCACGATTGAATGAGTTCTGGGCTCGGTCTAAATTGGGTTACAGCTTCATCATGTTCTTCAGCAACAAAGTTAATATAAACAATCCCTCTTTGAAAGAGGCAACCTGCCTCAAGCTTGTATCGTATTTGTGTGTGTGTGTGTGTGTGTGTGTGTGTGTGTGTGTGTTTTCCCTATCATCTTAATTGCCTGGGCTGGAAGACCTCTTTGTAAACAGGTTTTGTAGGAGGAAGCTTGGGGGCCAGGCGGGACCCAGGGGGGCTTTAGCCTAAGCCAAAGGAGCACTGGGTGTCATCTGACACATACAAGGCCTTTTTCAGCAAGCAGAGAGTGGCATGTTTCACGGCTTGGCTGAAAAATCATACACAGCAGGAGCGTTTGTATGTCATGAGTGTGCTCTGCTGCACGGGCCCCTCCCGTCCCCCGGCCATATTGCCCTGTTTGGTGGTTTTTTTCCTGCCACATCATGTAAACACATCTGTTTTTGTCCTTTGTTAAGGGTCTTGAAACAGTAGGGACAGAAGTGGAAAGGGTAGAGTTGTTATGAAGAATTGTGTTTGCTGGCGAGAAGCCGTGCTAACTAGAATGTGAACCCATGTGTAGAAAGGAGGACTTCGACCAGACCTTCAAAGTCTCTTCGAGGGGGAAAACTGTAGCCATTGATGGGCCACATTTAGGATCTATCTATTTATATTGGTTGGTCCTTAGAAATCAAGGGTTACGCGGTGTTAAGGATTGAATTCTATCTCCCCAAAGAAATGAGGAATTCCTAATGCTGGTGCCTGGGAATGTGCCCCTCTATGGAAATAGAGCTCTTCTTAAACTAAGTAAATGAGGTCATACCAGAGTAGGGTGGGTCCTAAACCTAATCCCTTCTGCTCTCACTGCCACCCAGTCGTGTTGACTCACAGTGTCCCCCTGTGGGTACAGAGACTGTAACTGTTTACAGGAGTTCAAAACCCAGTCTTTCTCCCGAGGGGCTGCTTGCAGTCCAACTACTCCACCACCAGGGCTTCTTCCATCCCTTCTGAGTGGTGTCTTGTAAAGGGGGACAGGCAGAAACAATGGTAAAGGAGCAGGTAGACCCATGTGAAGGCTACCTCTTCAAGCCACCAAGGAACACCAAGGAGGGCTGCTGTCCATGCGGAACGTAGCCCAGCTAGGAACCACTACACCAGTGGGGCTCCTGTAAGGGACTAGACAGGACTCTTCAAGAGCACTTGTGGCCCACCAAGAGAATGGGACAGTTTGCCAACAACGTGAGTGAGGCACACAGCACCATGCACATCTGTATGGAGCTCTGAGGAGATTGGTCCGTTTTGCCACCCCAGGAAAAGCTTAGTCAATGGCGAGTCGATCCCAGAGCGCAGCGCGATACAGTAAGACATCTCTCTATTAGAGAACAGCCGGGGCGGCAGATAACCAGGAGACTGGCAGAAGCTTTCTGACTTAAGGAATGAGAGAGCTGAGTGCCCTCGGGCTGAAGCGCCCTGACAAGGTGGGAGGCTTCTGGTCGCCGACTGGTGGAGTTAAAGAGCGCTGGAACTCTTGAGTGAGCAGGGCAGAGGCCAGGTGGCCCATGAGGCCTGAGATATCAAGGGCTCCAGGAGCTGAGGACCAGAGAGAGAGGGCTGTGTGTGGGGCATGGCTGAGCAGACGCTTTCGTGAGCAAAGAATTGTATCCTGAGTCATTTCTGATTCTGAATTGTAATTTGCTACTTCTCTCAGGTGCCGTGGTTGTGAGAATTGGACACCAGCTCTCTGGGGCCATTGCGATGCATCGTCAAACCCAGCAGAAGAGCAGCGAGCCAGGCAGGACCGCTGGGCTCAGACTGGTGCAACCACGGGAGAGTGGAGGGCTGTCTGACCTCTGCTTCACAGGAACCGGCCTGCGACTGATGTCACAGTGACTCTGTACCCCGGGGGTCAGATGCCCACCCACACCATTTTCATGGGGACAGATGAGGGGGGCTTGTGGGCGCATCTGGGAGAGAGGCACTGAGTGAGAGCAGCCAGCGACACAAGGTTGAACAGGACAACACAGGCTGCTGGCCACTGACCACCAGGGCCATTGTGGCTTTCCAGAACTTTGTACCTTGCACAGAGCTGGCCGTTTGGTCAGGTCCTGGCCTGCTCTGGTAGAGTGAGGAGGGCTTGTGTCCTTGACTGGGCTGGGAGGGGCTGGGCAAAGTTGGGGCTTAGGAACAGGTAGGCATCCCTTCCCCAGCACCCTGCTGGACCACTGACAGTGGGGTGCCAGGGAAGCAGCAGGAGGAGCAGGTGCCCCCTGACCCTTCACAGGTGTGCACAGAGCTTGGGTGAGGGGTCTCTTAGGTGTATAAGTAGGGGTCCCAGGACGTTCCTGTGTGTGGAGCCCAAATATTTAAAGGCTGGTACTGGGCAGCTGAGGGAAGGGTGAGCGTCTGTCAGCACAGCACGCTTCTCAGTGGGAGCCACCAGGATCGCGGTGGATGACAGGATTACAACTGTCAATTGTAGCTGCTTGGTTCCCAGAAGGAGGGTCAGTGAGGACCAGACAACCACAGAGAGGGGTGCTCAAGGCACCCTGTGCACCATGCCTCACCGGTACCCAGCCTCCCAGAGAACACAGTTTAAAGTTGGCCTCATCTAAGCACAATCAGTCAGTGGGCGGCTTCTGGGCCACACGCACGGCAAAGGGCGGTCATAGGTCTGAAGGCTCTCTGCTCAGTGTCCTTCCTTTGGCCACACACAGCTGGCGTGTATGTTCCCAGATGCACTCGCTGCCGACACGGCTCTGCTCCCGGTCCCCTGGCTCCTCTGTGTAGGGAGTACCAACGCGTGCGTGGCACTCAGGGGAAGGGGTGAACGTATGATGCCCCCCAGGGCTCTGTGGAGGGCTTCTCCCGCAGCCTTTGTTGGGCACACAGTGTGGGATTCACAGCAAGGCTCAGGAGCCTGCTCCTGTGCCTTGGTTTCCCCACCTGCCAATCAGTACGGTGTCACGGCCTAAGGTTGCGGTTAGAAACGGGGAGTGCTGACAGCTGTCATTATTGTTACAGGGAAGTGACTCCGTCCGAGGTGAAGGAGCATGAGCCTACTCAAGCCTCCTTCATCCTCCCTCTCACGCCTACTCCGGCCACGTCCCCTGGACATGCTGACCCCCCTGCAGCAGCAGATTCAAAAAGAAGATGACGATCACAGAGCACCCTCCCGTACCCCATAGAGACACAGACCCCACTCCACCCGCCACGAGAAGAGCCCGCAGTGGGAGCTGGCAGAAGCCACGTACCGTTCTGAGTTGGCGGGCATGGTGGGGTCGATGGAGACCATGGTGTCGTCCGTGGTCAGGAGAGAGATGGTCGTGTTCCTGAAAGACAACCGTGACAGTGAGCACTGTCACCCACCACGCTCTCTGCTCTGGGCTGCACACGCAGGCGGGCTGGAGGAAGACCAGCTCCCCACTCCCTGTGGCCAGGGGAGAGATGGGCATCACTAGAATCCACAGTCGACGTTGCTGTAGCAGCCCGCCCTGGAGGGATCGCAGCTCAGGGCGCCCACATGTGTGCCGCCCAAAACTGTTCCACGGGACTTTCAAGGAAGTGATTTTTCGAAGCACGTTGCCAGGCCTGTCTTAGAGCACACAGTGGGTGTGTTAGAGACCCACTAACCGTGGGCTCTTAGAGCACACCAGTGGGTGTGTTAGAGACCCACTAACCGTGGGCTC